CAGTAAACAGAAGTGAGGGAAGGCATAAGATGCTATGAGGCAGAGAAGCAGTATCTGATTTGGAATGTCCAAAGGCAGTGTTTTTAATTAAAGAAGAAGAAAAGGGAAAAAAATGCCGTGTAAATGCTCCTTTATTACGCAAGTGATTAGAGGGATAATCTGAAGCAGTATTCTGCTTTACGAAAAGGGGCATTAGACAACAGGGAGTGAATGTGATGCACTATGGACTAGAGTTGCAGCAAAGTACAAGCTCGGAATTGGAGGCTACCTTTCCTGAAAAGTTCTTGGAGTCTAATTTTTGCGCAACTAGGTGTCTTCGGGAGTGTAATACTTTGCTGACATTGACTAGATCTTTCAGAGTTTCCACGGTTAGTTATGGGACATTTTTGGAAAATTTAAGAAAGAATTTTTTTCAGGGTATGAAGTTTGAAATGTTTTCATAATTAGAAATGTCTAGATGTGCTGGAAGAGTGTCCTTGTATCTTTTAATGCTTAAAGAAACTGTGACCAAATGTTACAAAAATCTGAAATTTTCTTGGAGAATAAGAAGAATTGGAAATGTACATACACTTGCAAAAATTAAGTTCAAGACGTGCCGGAGGAATAGTAGAAATTCAGTTTAACTGCGGTTGTTTTTTTTTTAAAGTAGAACGAACGAGTGAGAAGTAAAATTTTTATGCCGAGGAAACAATTTTGCTTACGTAAGAAACATTGCCATTTTTTTAGAGAAGGTATTGTTAAGGGATTTTAACACCAGGTATGTTTCCGAACTGTGGAGTTTACCGCGTTCCGAATAACGCTACAGGAGGGAACGGAATTTTTGTAGGTAAATTTGAATCTTTCGCATGTTTATTAATTTCTATTTATTAGTCAGTGGTTCTGTGAAACATTGTAAAAGTTGAAGTTCTGCCTGAAATGGCTCAGTCTTAAGTCACCCCGTCGTTATCTACTCTGTAAATCTTTCATGATGTTGCTGAGCTTGTCTTCAATGGGTTTCTGCAAAAGCATTGACAAATTGTTCTTCAAACAGTCTAGTTGTAAATTCTTAATTTGAACTTGGTGCTTCTAAGTAACTGACAAAAAAAAAACTGTTACTAACCGTAAGCGAAAATTGTCATGTTATTACTATGTAGTATGTGAGAATAGCCGCAGTAATTCACTACCGAACAAAAAAAAAAGCACATATGACGTCAAATGATAAACTGAAAAAAAACTCATAACCACGCACATTAACGAACAAATACGAAAACATCAATTTTTTAATATGAAAAATTAGTGATTTATGACACCAATATTAAGCTATTAAAAATACCTTTGACACTTAATTCGGAACATCCAAAGATGAATTATTTGGGCATACTATCCGTGTAGTATCAAAGCGAAAATCACTGTGCAAATAGTTTTTGCTTTGTTAGCCGAATTTAAAAACACTTCGAAAGAAACCTCTTTAAAGAGGCATATCGCATGTAACAGTTTTTGTATTTTTGAGAACTAACAGTGAGGTAACGAGAGCACTAACAAAAAGCATTCAAATGTTTTATAAGAAAAAAAGGGTTTGTATATAAAGTATTTGGATAGTTCCCTTAAAGAGCAGTATAGGAGGATAATGACCACTAGTGAAAAGTCAACGTGACCAGTTTATAGCTAACAAATTTATTAAACCAACTGCACACAAAGCAAGCGGAATAGTGATACAATAGCGGTCGGTGTTCTACATCTGATATACAGAAACTTGGCGCTGGTCGATATCAACAAAACAGTTCCGTTTATAGGAAATGCATTACACATCAACATTAGCATATAGTATAAGAACAGGCCTTTCCTGTACAAGCAATGTTAGGCATTGAGCGTAAACAACTGTTGACTCAAAGATAAGAAAAGAAGATATTTTTGCTTAATTTCGCAGTCCGCTGTCGTGACACTCCAACGCCGAAAGTTGTAACAATCTTGATTCTGATATAATCTAATGCATTCAAAGTTGAGTCTCCTTGTCCTTTTTTTACAATAGGTCTTGTGAAAGTAGTTAAGAGTTTGTTCCCCTTTCCTTTTCTGCAGAAGAGCAACTTTTCTTTGAAACATTTGCACCACATGCTTGAAACTGTAAGGAGGAATAATGCGATTAAAACAAAACTGCATGTCCGCCACCAGGATATCGACAGTGAATAAAGTGTCTCCTTTATGAATTCTGTCGTTTCTTCTGCTTTGCCACCAATTTCTTCTAAAAACTCATCTGTGTTGGTCGCCCGTTGTTCAAAGGGGTTTGAGACCTGCTCTGCGGTTTCGTCTGGCTCATTCCTAAAGGGTAGTCTCTTGAAGCAATATTTGAGAATGTTATTGGTTTTAGAAATAGGTTTGTGGGGGTTCGCGATCTATAAGAAGCGTGTTGAATCTTGGTCTACGGCATTGAGCTCGATTTGCAAAAACGCCTTTTTGATGTCGGCAAACATTATGATTTCTGGTTGACGAAAACGAAGCAGTATTCCTGTAAGGTCTGCTAAGTACATAGGCCCTCTGTGTAAGCAGTCGTTTAACGAATGGCCCTTAGGAACGCTAACGCTGGCATCAAAGACAATTCGTAATTTTGTTGTTGCATGATCGTTCTGTAAAACTGGCTGATGTGGTAAATACGACGTCATGGGGCTTGTTGGAATTTCAGGAGCGGGTTCAACGATGCCGTCTTGAAGTTGTTGTTCAAAAGTTTCGGTGTATCGCTGGGCCAGTTAGGTTTGGTGTGCACTTGCGCCGAACTTTTTTTGTAACGAACGTAAGCGGCCTAAGCAAAGAGCGTAATTTTCTAAAAGTATGGGCGATCATCCTTGCATGGCCGACCAACGATATAGCGTCTATCTGGTTGTCTGCTGACAGTTTGAAGGAAGTGGTCTGCGGCTTTTCTGTCATCCTCAAGTTCTTCTTGCTCCGGTTAAATGCCAATGCTTTCTAATTTCCAGAACTATTCAATTTTACACAATGTCGGACAGGTCAAAACGGTATGTGTAACACATGGGGTGCATTTTAAATATTTTGAATTAACTTTACCTTCACCACCTAGCATGGGACCTGCACGGGAATCGATGAGCTGGAGGCCGCATGGAAGATCCTTGATTTTTTTCAAGTTTGCTATCTAGTAAAAGTTAGCGCCAATGAGGACAGTTGATTCAGTGTTATAAGCTTGTATAGGCAACTCGTAAGAGGGGTTGTCCCATAAGGTAGCTAATTCGTCTTTGATTAATTCTGCGTGCAAGAAAGATCTTGTGACTGGGGATAGTGTAAAGGCATTGATAAGGTGTGTACTCTTATCGCTTAATTCAAGAGCAAAGTGAACGGAGGTACGGTTGCGTCTGCTTTTTGTACTAGCAATTCTGTTGAGTGTTTTAGGGGTTGAATTTTGAAGTAGCAGAGGAAGTTGGTTTTGCAGTTGATTAAAAATGAAAGAAATTTGACTGCCACTACTGAAGAAGACTAAAGCTTGTGCGCGCAAGGTTGGTATTTGTGGATCGAAGATTGTGATGCGTTGACACGGCAGCAGCGGCACGTTTTGATCAATGTGGTGATTTGACGAAATAATTTTTGTTACTGTAGAAGTAAAGAGATTTACCGGTTGATTGTCATCATCTGAAGTGTCGGGTTGTTAGACGACTACAGGTGTAGCGGTCTGTCGTTTAGTTGTTGATGGAGTTGCGCGTTTTGGTATTAGGCAGAGTGATTAGTGGTGATTACCTTTACAATAGTAACAGTTAAGTTTTTGAGGACAGTCGTAAAGTTCGTGTCCATTTTCCAGGCATTTAAAGCAGAGTTTTTTAGATTTAGCGAGTTCACGCCTTTGTTGTGGTATAGAATATTTGTGGCATTCTGTTGTCCAATGCATTCCGCTGCAGAAAATACATGGTGTTTTAGGTTGCCGCTTTTGCGGTTTTTGCTCACTTTTTTGAATATTGTAAGTTGTGGGACGTTCAGTAGATTCAGGTGCAGGTGACGCAGTTGCAGAAAATGCTGACGTATGATTTTGTGTAGCAGTTGTATGTTGAATATTTTTGGGTTGCTGCCGAACGGAGAGGTTTAAAGCACGGTGAATATTTTCATTTTGTGTGAGCAATAAAAAGAGTTGTTGAACAAGGCTTTCAACGTTTCAAGTAGGATTTAGAACTTTATAATTGCTCTAGTTGCAGGAGAACTGTTTTTGGTAATTTCCTCTCAATAGTTCTTTGAATGAGAGTGACATTAATGTTCTCACCGTGGTGTTTGAATGATTGCAAAAATCGTTGAAGATTTTTCAAAAAGGATCGGGAATTCTGCTCAGTGACATGCGGCAGACACTCGAGTTTGTCATGCAGCGAACCGATAATAACAGTAAGACTACCGTATTTTTCTTTTAATGCCTGAACAACTATTTCGTAGTCTTTGTTTGCTATTGCAAATGCGGACATAGTTTGATGAGCAGAACCAGTAAGGCAGCTTCTCAAATACGTGAGTTTCTGCCAATCGCGCTCTGTTGTGCATCAACGGCATTTTGAAATCAATCCCAAAAGGAAGGCCATTCTTTGGGGTCGCCACCGAATTTGACTAATGAAAGTTCCGGCATGGGAAAGGGGTCTTGGCGTTGATTCCGATTGAGAGGAGTGGTTGAAGAAACAGAGGACTGCAGAATTGAAGAATTTGCTGTGTTTGTTTGTAGTGTTGACAGACTAAATTCCAATTGTTTGAGTTTGCCTTGTATGTTGGTAACAGTTTGAAAAAGGCCGTTAGTATCAGAGGTCATTTGAGAGCATAGATCTCTTTCGTATGGAGCTTTTCTGGGAGAGAGGTTTTGAAGTATTGATAGCCACTGGTCGTGTAGTCGAGTGAGGGTGGCAAGTTTGTGGTGCAAAACTGGGAAAAGATCAGAAATTCGCTTTTAATGAGTACTCTTCCGTGCCTGTGTGGTTGAATTGTCTGCAGCAAGTTTTAAAAGCTCGGCTGCCTGTTGAAGGTAGGGAAGAGTTCGAGGAAGAATAACCTGACATTGAGCTATAATAGGAGAAGCACGAGAATTGTGGACGGGTGATACTGAATCCGACATTAGGCCGACGTACCATATAGGAAAAAAAGGGTTTGTATATGAAGTATTTGGATAGTTTCCCTTAGGGGCAGTATAGGAGGATAATGACCACTAGTGAAAGGTCAACGCGATCAGTTTATAGCTAACAAATTTATTAAACCAACTGCACACAAAGCAAGCGGAATAGTGATACAATAGCGGTCGGTGTTCTACATCTGATATACAGAAACTTGGCGCTGGTCGATATCAACAAAACAGTTCCGTTTATAGGAAATGCATTATACATTAAAATTAGCATATAGCATGAGGACAGGCCTTTCCTGTACAAGCAATGTTAGGCATTAAGCGTAAACAGCTGTTGACCCAAAGATAAGAAAAGGAGATATTTTTTGCTTAACTTCGCAGTTCGCTGTCGCGACAAGTCTTTCAAAATTTGCAAAAGTACTAAAGTGAATTTTTTGCGATTTATTTAGAAGAAAGAGAAAATTCAGTAAAAAAAATTTGGTTGTAAACAAATTCTTTTAGTTTATTGCCACAATCGGAAAGAGTATAAAATACCAGAGCCATCACCGATTTTGGATTGCGTTTTTCAGAATTCTGACCACCTCCATTTTTTCGTTTTCCAGAGCCAAATCGAGAGGTGTTCTCTGAAAAAAACTGATGACGCTAAAAATGCTGAAATGTAGGCAAAATGGAAGTTTAAAGGTAGATAAAAAGCGTTTAAATGAAGTTGCAGTAATTCGGAAAGTCATACTTCTTTTCAGCATTATTTTTTCCTACAAATTTTTTTTTTTGATTATTCATATTCCTTGCTGACTTATAAATTCTTTAAAAAAGTAGAAGAAAAACGGCAAAAAGTTGCATTATTTGATATCTTACTGCCACTATCGATTTATCAATTTCTACTACTTTTGTAAGCAAATTTTTACGTCAAAAGTCTAAAGAACGATACATCAAAACAACGAGTGAAAAGGAATTAGAAATAAAAATAAAGTAATGGTTGTGAGAAATACAAACAGTGAAGCAAAATAAAAAGTAACGTGTACATTGGAGAAATAAGGTTTTTAAAGTTGTCGATTAATGTTAAGCAAAAATAGTTTGCTGAACGAAATTGTTAAAGTGACCATTGAAAATATATAAACTGAGACATATAACAGTTTTCAGGAGAAAAAGTGTAACTGCTGATTATTTGGCTGTGGAAAAGCACCTATAAAACTTTTCTGAAGTATCATTTTTTTTTAGTTGTATTGTAGTTTTGTTCTTTCCCAATTTTTCCTTACTTTCTGTGTAACTCTTCTTTTAAGAAGCATTCCAGTTTATCCTTTTAACGCTTTTTTTACTTTATTTTTCAGTCATTATTGGACTTTTATGGCTTTATTCAAGATCCATTGATCTTCTTCCACTTTCATTGCATATAAAACAATATTCTCTTAGACTAATTTTTTATTGTAGTCTTTCATCTTTTCCTTATTTGCTCGATACCGAAACACAGCGAGAAGACCTAAAGAATCTGCCAAAAATACAAAACTCCTTTATTCATTTTGTAGCAACCACACATTGTGTCACAGCTCTTTCTTCAGTCTGTTCTTCCTTCCAATTAACATCAAATTTCATTTTTTTCCTTTTTTTTCTAGCCACGTCTCATTCAACGTCTCCGCATTTTCACTTATTTTTCATAAAAGCCAAAAGTGAGAAAAGAAGCCAACAATTTTATAAATAGTGAAAAAATAAAGGAGAGAAATAAAATATTGCTAAGCAAAGAAAACGACCTGAAAAGTGGGACAAATGAACAAACTTATTTGATGATAGAAAAAGGTTTGTAAAATAAAAATCTGCCACTAAAACAGAAAAAAGAAATACCGATTGTGCAAAAAACTTAACAAAATAACTCTTTGAATTTAAAAACTTTCTAAGCATACCAAAATTTTACAAAATTAGGAAGAAAAGTCTTTCATAAATAAAATAAAAAAATGTAAAGTGAGAAAGAAAGCTAAACCATTAACGAAAAAAGATTATTTTTTATTTTACAATTTTTGACCTTTGTGAACAAGAAAGATAATTTTCAAAAAAAAAAAAAAAATTAACTGCGATAAAATAATTTTAGTAAACCCTCACATCGGACGAATTCTTCGCAGCGATGACGGCTCCGTTTTGAAGCAAAACCTTCACGACGTCCACAGATCCGCTCAGCGATGCGCAATGTAATGGAGTCCACTGAATTAAAAAGATATAAATTTTTGTTGGGAAAAAAAAGTGCAGGCGAAAATTTTTGAAGCGTGCAGAAATCTTCAAAATTCAGGAAATCTTTCAATGCCGCAGCAGAATGGAATTTCCAAAAGATGGTAAAAAATTGGTAAAGCCTAAGACCTTCTCTTTTACATTTAACTGCCTTAACTTTCAAAAAAGTTATCAATTTTTTGCTGACATTTTCCTTTGAAGTTTTCAATTTCTTATTTTTTAGTCACTCCTCAAAACTTTGAACACTTGGTTTTTGGTATTTTTAATTACAAATTCTTCTCGCTACAAAACTTAATTTTATTCCCACTTTTTAAAGGTTTGAAATTTTCAATGATTTTACAATAATTTCGTCATCGTTTTTTATTTTGATGCCAACTGAATAAATATTATATAAATCTCTTGTAATTCTCCTCCACTTCACTTTTTCAAGGAACTTTTTTAGTTTGTCTGCTCAATCTTTCTGTGCCATTTTACTGCTTTAAGAATTTCGAATTGCTAGTTTTATCTGAACTCTGGTGGTTTGTCCTGCACTTTTCTGACTAAGAATTACGCTTTACAAGAAAAAAAAGGTTTGCCGCATATTTCAATTTTTTCTGACACTGATTCGTTGCAGAAATTTCAGTAGCTTTCTAAAAGCGTAAAAACCAATTTTTTTTCTTTTTTCTTTTTTTTTTTTTTAAAATTAAACATTCTCTCTTACCTCTTTTTCAGTCTTTTTTCCTTCCTCTATTAACAAAAAATTTAATTTTTACACGTTTTTCTGGATTCTTTCATTACTATTCTTCACATTCTGTTTCATTTTTTATCTGATATAATTTACAAAAGTTGAGAATTTGTGATTGTTGTATGCAGTTGTAATAAAAAGTGAAAAAGAAGAAACGGCGACTGTTACAGCTGAATAAAACGTTATAATTTAGTAAAATAATCCAAGAAATCAAAACAATAAATGAATTTTTTGGATAGTACGGCAAAAATGTGCTGCGTAATTCTCCACTTTCTACCGAAATACAAAAGGTGAAAAAGGAAATACTGTTTACACAAAAAGAAATTAGTGTGAACAGCGACAGACCGTTAACGATTCGTTTTTAAAATGTTTTTTAAAACTCTGAAATTTTTCCAAAATCAGAACAAAAGTTTTTTTATAAGATAAAATAGAAAAAATATAAGACAGAAAAGGAAAATGCTTCGTTAGAGAAAAAAAATTTTTTATTTTATTGTTTTTGACTTTTATGAGCGCAGAAATACAATTTCGAAAAACAATTCAAATTGACTGCGCTAAAATAATTTCAGTAAATCCTCACATTCCATCGATCCATCGCAGCGATGTCTGCTCCGTTTTCGAGCAAAACTTTCACAATGTCCACAGATCCCCTCGACGATGCAAAGTGTAACGGGGTGCACTGAATTGAAAAAATGAAATTTTTTGTCGGGTGAAGAAAAGTGTGAGTAAAGATTTTTGAAGCGTGCAGAAATCTTCAGAATTCAGAAAATCTTATACTGCAGCAGCAGAGTGGAATTTCAAAAAGATGGCGAAAAAAATGGTAAACCCTAAAACCTTTTTTTTTGCATTTAACTGTCTTAAGTTCCAACAATTTTATGAACTTTTTTGCTAACATTTTCTTTCAAATTTTTCAGTTTTTTTCTTCAGTTACTCTTCAAAACTTTTAAACATTTTTCTTGGTATTTTACAATATAAATCCTTCGCATTACAAAGTTCTGTTTTTTTTT